CTAGTCTTCGCAAACCTAAAAGTAAAGGAAGATATAGTATCAACAAAATATGCATATTATTGTTTATCACAAAGCCTTTGTGGGTGTATTGGAGGTTCAGCTTTTTTCTTTTTACTATGGTGAACATTAAAGCCTTAAACTCATACCTTTAGCCTTGCCAGGTCTTGGTATCAGCTGACCGGTCCTGCTGTGGCGTCTGAAGAGACAGATCGCTGCACCCATCAGAACACACCACAAGACGGCGCCGATGCTGCCGAGCAACACAGGGTCCTGAAGAAAGGCCAGGACCGGAGACAAACGCCGCCTCTGGCTATCTGACTCGGGTAGTCCACCTAACTGTGAGTCTGAGCAGCAGAATGGAAGCACATTATGAATGAATACAACCCAGCCTGAGAACACACGCTGGTCTTTATCTGTCCTGATACAGAAATAAAAAGTTGACAGCTGTATTGCTCACTGATGACAAATCCATGAGGGTCACTCAGCATTCCTACTCCAGCCCCATTGACTGCTGCTATGGTGACCCAGTACTGCTTCCCTTGTTTGAGGCTAGAGATATGAAGGCTCAGTTGGCTACTATCCACAGTCCAGTTTTGGTACTGCTGCTCTTCGGGCTCCACACACCACACCTGAAGAAAGTTTGCATCTTTAAGAGTGAGATTGAAGCTTGTATCCACCCCAAACATGATCAAAATCATTTGTGTGGATAAAGCTTTAATCACTAAACAATTCATTAGCTGCTCCACATGGACATACCAGTAACTGAGACTCCAGTTATAACAGAATAAAACATTCCTACTAAGAACCACGTGCTCTTCTTTATTAAATATTTAATATGTCTGCAATACAACACATTTCTTCCATCACAAAGTTTGCCTCAGAATCTTAGTGCACAGTGATTGGTTAATCTGTTTCTTGTTCCACTTGCTGATTAATTCTTCCATATATTTGTATGCAGGACTGTTTGTATCCCATGTTTCCCTCTTAAAATGACTCCAGCATGATTCGTTACAATCTGTAAGGATTTATGTTTCCCTGAGGGTTTCAACAGTCTGCTGAGCAGATAACTGTGTCGTGCTGTCCTACTGTAATTACCTGGTATCCCTGTAAGATCCCATTGTGGGTTACAGGAGGAGGAGGCTCCCAGCTCAGATGGATGGTGTTATTCTGCTCATGATTGACTGTTACTGACACAGCCCGAGGAGAGGCACTGGGCACTGTAAACAGAGCACTTATTATTACCAGCAAAACACAATGAATATTCTCACATCACAAAGATAAAGTAAAAACTTTTGTCACCTGTCTCAGAAACTCTCAGGTGCCGGGTGTTGCTCTCCCTCCCATATAAGCCGCTGCCATAAGGCCGAACTTTGAAGTCATACTTGTAGCCTCTCTTTAGGGGGCCCACCTGAGCCTGGAAGCTGGGGAATGTCACCTTCTCTGCTGCCCAGTCTGAGCTGGCAGTGAGCAGAGAGCGATACAGAACCTCAAAGCCATCAAGGTAATGCGGCTGCGCTGGGAGTGACTGGAGCTGGTCAGGGAGAAAATACAATGTGGATCGTGTACGTGTCATACTCCTACATTCTTTCTGACACGTGGTGCAACAGCTTTCCCTTACCTTCCACTGTACGAAGGACATGTTAGAATCAGGGGCCATGACGGTGACGTTCTCCAGAATCACACGCAGGGATGACAGCTCTTTGTGGAGGTCTTTCTGCTTAGTGTTGGCAGCCTCTGGAAACACAAGCGGTTTATTCAAACCCATTGCATTAACCACAGATGATTGCAGCAGTGTGTGAGGACCTCTCTGTTGCTGGCCAGATTGTGCAGTGAAAATTCACTAGCCAACGTTAGCCTAGAGCAGCGGTCCCCAACCCCCAGGCCTCGGACCGGTACCGGTCCGTGAGTCGTTTGGTGCCGGGCCGCGAGAGTTGAGGCTCAGGTGTGAAATGTATGGTTTTCAGGGTTTTTATC